TAATGAAGATCCGCCAGGAGAGCAAGTGACAGACGAAACCGAAGAAAGCCGGCCCGGTACGCCCTTGGCGGCCCCGAGTGGCGAGAGCAGCGAGGCGGATTCTGCGGCAGAAACAGAGATTCAGAGACCGAGGAGCTTTGTACATCAAGTCAGGCACATGAGATTCGGTGATCAGAAGCACAGATGGTTACACGGGGCTGCAGTCAAAGCCATTGCCTTTTGCCCTTGGCAGGATGGTCTGGTGGCAACTGGGGGAGGTTCGAACGACAGGTGCATTCATTTCTTTCACACCACCACTGGATGTCCTCTGGCGACCATATCTGTTTCGGCGCAGGTGACGAGCTTGATCTGGTCTACAACAAGACACGAGATCGCTGCCACGTTTGGCTACGCTGAACCGGAGCACCCCGTACGGATTGCCGTGTTCTCGTACCCGGAATGCCAGCAGGTCGCTACAATATCTTGGGCTGGCGAACATCGAGCGCTCTATGCCATATCTTTCCCTGCGGAGCCAAATGAAACTCGCGCAGCAGCGAACGGTACCAGGGAGCGAGGCCGCACTCGGGCCGCATTGGAAGGCTGCATTGTGGTCGCGTCGAGCGATAAGAGCGTCAAGTTCCACGAGGTATGGACGACGGCAGATAATCAGGCTACGCCTGGTGGTGTTGGCATGCTTGGTGGCAGTGACATCCTAGAAAGTCTCGAGGGGATCGATAGAGATACAGATGGTATTCGTTGACCGTATATACCTGGTAAGCAGGACAGCACGTTGCGACCCCAACATGGGACATAGGTCATGAGGTGCGAGCTGAGCATGGAGGCTGGGGACATCCATTCAGTTGTCGAGTGAATAAGCAAGGGGACGGTCAGTACGAGAGCATTAGACACAAATTGACAGAAACCTTTTTGGCAAGCGAAAGGGCCTTGTTCATAGTTAGTGGCGCCAGCGTTGGTGAGATCTGATATCCAGTCACGAGATTAAAAGCGTTGACACGTTTGGGATTGCTGCAAAGTGCAATGGAGTGTGAACGGCATGAAGCTCGTTGATGTGGCAATATATATCGTGAAGGACAGACAGGCCTCCGGTTCTAAGCCAAGTGTACACCCGTAGGTCGAACGCCGAATAAATGCAACCCGGAACCTCTCCATCCCGATCTCTTATGGCACTGATAGCCCTTGAAACCCCCAGCCAGAGGCAAAGAAACAAGTACAGCGCTCTTGCGTGTTGCCTTCTCAATACCGGAACACAGTACAGATACCGACCACTCTCTAAACCGCCCCCGAGTCCCCTGCTAGACGCCACCAGCCTACTCTACAACTCCCCCACTTCACGCTCCCTCACTTCAAAATAGCAATCAACAACACCAAAATGATAATCAACACCACAATCGCCACCATCTGCCGACTCTCGCTCGCTGACCTGGCAAACCGATCCACCTGCCTCCGGGCCCTCCCCAACGTGCTGGCGTGCCGATCTACCACCCTCTCGCTCTCGTCCAGCATCAGAACCTGCTCGTCCAGCTCGTCGCCTATTCGCATCGACAGCTCGCGCTGCCGGGAGATGCTTGCGCCGAGGGCATCCAGCTGCGCGTCTTGCTCTTCTAGGATGCGCTGGTGGTACTCGTGGATCTGCACATTGTCGAGGTTGGCAGCTTGATCGCGGTAGCCGGCCGTGTCGGGGTCGTCGCGGTAGGGGAAGAGGGGATTTTGGTTGTTTTGTGAAGAGGCGCCGGGAGGGGGGTTTTGGGCTTCGAGGTCGAGGGGGGAGTCGGAGAAGCGGACGGTTTTGGGGGTGGAGACCTTGCGGGTTGGTTTTTGGCGGGGGGAGGTTGGTGGGTTGGAGGAGGTCGAGGACTGGGCGTGGGCGAAGTCGGCGGCGAGGGAGGGATCATTGGGGGAGGTGAGGGTTGTGGAGGTTGCGGGGGTGGGGAAGCCGTGGAATTGGGAGGAGAGGTCGTGGTATTGTTTTTGGAGGGTGGTGAGGGTGGAGGTAAGGGCGGATGATTTTCTGGGGAAAAGGTTAGGATGGGGGAGGGAAGGGGGGCGGGGGAAAGGGGGGGCTTACGCTTCGTCGCCGGCTTCTTGGAGGCGGGATTGTTCCTTTTCGAGGGCTTCGAGGCCCTCGCGGAATTGGTCTAGTGAGCGGGAAATGTGGCCATCTTGGGAGTCGCTCGAGAGTTTGAGGGTCTTTGCGCGTTGTCGTTCGAGGAGGGATAGTTTGATGTGGTCGGCGAGGAGGAGCAGCGCGTTCGGGTTCGACATGGCGACGGCTTGCGGTCGGAGGGACTCGAGGAGGGGGATGGGGCTTAGAGACGGTCGACGTTGGAGAAAGCAGAAACAGAATGCAGCGAGTGGACGGTCTTGCCAGCGATCATGCTGTGTTTCGGTTGGTGTTGAACCCACAGTCAAATCAACCGGGTCATGCGGGTTCCCGGCTGAGACTTGGCTCGTTGTGCATTACGCACATCCGCGCGGCTTGATCGGCTGGTGGTCCGTGCGCGGCAACCGCACCCCAAGGTCTTTGGGCAATTCCTTGGGCTCTACAAAATAACCTTTCACCCACCCTCTCGTTTGGCCACCTTTCTTGTAGGTGGGCGCCGCCCCCGTCTGTCCCATATTGTCGCTTACACACACACGCTGACGCAAAGTTTGCTCGGATTATTTGGCGCGGCAGCGAAGAGGGATGGCGGAGACGGTTGGGACGGGGCAGGCGGATGCGATGGACGCGCAGCCGAGTCCTGCCGCCGAAGCATCTGCGGCGTCGGGCGTCCTGCCGGCGCCTCCACCCGACATGCCGGCCGCGTTTCCCAAGAAGCGCCGGGGCCGACCACCCGGACGCCCCAATATGACAGTGCGCGAGGCCGAGTACGAGGGGAACCCCCTTGTGCAGGCGTGGAACGCCGCCAAATCGGAACGGCCCATGTCAGTGGTGCCCATCTACATCCGCCAAGCCCTGACCGACGCACCTCTCGTCCACGACACCCAACGCCAGATCTTCCGCCTTCCGTGCCGGGAGGTCATTTACTTTGTCCAGGGCTGGATCACAGCTCGCCATATTGCCTCGCAACGACCCAGCTATGTCAATGGCCTTCTCATCCACTCTCGCGGCCAAGATGCTCCGTTATCATGTGCTCAGTGCACCGAGAGGCGAAACAAGAACGCACTGGGGCCGTTCCTAACGTGTCGCGTCCTGCCAGGAAGTTATCACAACAGCTGCTCTAACTGCAAGTGGTTTGACAACACCTCGGCCTGCTCGCTGTACACCGGCCCGAAACCAAACCGGAAACGAAAGGCGAAGGAGGCAGTCGCCCAGGAAACGCAGGATACTGGCCCGGTCGAAGATGTAGGGGAGAGTTATCTTCCTGTGAGCGAGCCGCCTGAAAGTGTCGGGGATCAGCAGACTCCAGAGGACGGGATTGATCCCACGCTGCAAGCACACGTCGACGCGGCGGTGGACGCTGTGTCTGGCGTTGATTTAGACCAAGCGTTGGAAGTTCAGTTTGCGGACATGCAGGAAGTGTATGATGCCTAGTTTGCGGGGTTACTCTAGCAAGCAAGTGGGCTGTGGTGCGGCGGCTGACTGGGATGGTAGACACGATTCGAGCAGTATAGATCCGTAACTGGCTGCGCGGCTTCTTCCCGAGTTTCAAAGACATGACGGGTCTCCAAATGGGACATGAGACAATTTTAGTATCAGATATCCAACCTCAATTGAGACATGAGTAATCATAGCTAGGTAAGCTTGGGCTATGGTAGCCCGGGCCAGCACACAAAGGCTGATACAATGGCATTCAGACATTCCGAACTGAGTTCAACACCGTGACCACTCAGTCGCCTCATTGATAGCCTCTGGCGAGAGTATTCTAGTCTACTAGGCAGACTACTTGGAAGTCGCATTGACGTGAGTTAATCTCAGGAGAGAGACGTGTGAGCACGGGCGGACCAAGTTATATGGAACAAAGCTCTTTGGTCTTGGTGTCCAACTGCCCATCGGAAAGGGGTATCCGGAATGCCGCGAACGGCGTTGTCCCACTTCCACGGTGGTTTGAAGTGATTCGGAAGGTATCAAGTTTGCGAGGGTCATCCGGAGCTGTCGTGCGACATGTTTGAGGTCAAGACCATAGGGACCTGGAATTAATGAAGTGTCGAGGATTTTCATCAGACTAACAGGAATTCCCATCATGGACGTGTATCAGTGTGACGTGCGCCTCTTGCGGTGAGAAAGGATTTTACTTCCAGGTTGGCTTTGAGGCAGTTTATTATACTCAAAATAAGTGTCCAGAACGCCGCGATCCATGTTTTCCAACGCGCAGTATCATCACTGCAGCCCCCGCATCACAGCCGCGCCTCGTATGATGATTGCGTCTAGATGGCATGATGAGTGCGCCTAGATGCAGCCACGTTCCCGGCCGAGACTCCGGGGTTGCGGGCACAATGGACACTAGGATCTTACGATTTTGGTCTGCGAGACGCGGAACCAAGATATCACGGTCATCTCCGCTTCAGAGACTTGAAGCGGAGCTGGTGTGAGCTGTCGCCAGCGGTCGCAGGTTGCCCGTTGATTCGGCCGGTGGGTAGGAGCGCCTGCCTATCCTTCCGCCTCGAGAGTCCCACTCCAAAAGCAGAGCAAACTTGCACCCCTTCGGGGCAATAAATTTCGAAGAAATCTAAACCACTTTCCATTTCAACTGGCACCGCAAGAGCCGACCGAGTTCATCATCTCCCTCACAAGGTCGTGGCTCTACGGGCGCCGTGCACATCTCTTTTCCAGCGATCATCATTTGCCGCTCGCAGCACCTCCTCGCGCAGGCGCCAATTCAAATCGGAGGCTCCAACCCAATGACCAGCTGAAAGAACCGCGTCTTCCATGACAAACGACTTTCCGTCCGAGAAACCAAAAGGCGTCGTGGCACAGGAGCCATGCAGCCCTCCCTTCGCCGAGCGCCGCCGAACACCAGAACGAGGCTGATTTTCAGCAAAAAGACAGGCACCTCCTATTCCTCTCCCGCCGGGAATTGAACCCGGGTCTTGAGCGAAGTCTTCCTCAGTGAAGGTGACAAGCTCACATACTGACCACTATACTACGGAAGATGTGTGAGTGTCTCCACCCACTGTAGTTTTTTGGTCGTGCCTGGTTTCTCGGGATCGGGGAATCGAACCCCGGGCTGCTGAGTACTCAAAGTTGAGAGTCAGCGATGTTAGCCACTACACCATACCCGATTGATGACTGTTGTGTGCGGAAAAGAGGGTAATGGGTGGAGGGGCGTTTCTGCTTGCCGATTGGGGTGGCAGGGGTATTCAGGGGCTAGGGCTCCACGACGGCAAGCCCATGACTCGTCGACTTTTGCCTCCGAACCGCGCGCATGAGCCTCTTCAAGAATGAGGCACTGGGGAACAATCGGGACGGGAGCTTGGGGGATTGCACCGTCTTCGCGGCTCTCGCGGGTTCAAAGAAACGCAGACAAGTTCACCACCTCCCGCCGCTGCAAGACGTCAACAACCACATGCCAAGCATCGTCGAGTTCGGAAGGCAGAACCAGGTTTCGTCACAACATGTTCTCTTCGGATGTTGCAATCGGATGTGGTGCTTCGGGGATGGAGGCGAGCAGCCCGCAATAAAGTGCGCCGTCTCTATGCCAGCAACCAAACCGGACTTTTGACGTTGCGCAGAACGGCTGTCGACTTTTGGTGTAGCTGAGAAAGGCAGGAATCTTCGGCGGCTATATGCTGTGAGGCGAAACCCGGGAATTCGGGAAATGCCGAGCATCTATGCATAACCGTTGATTGGTGTTCAGGTTGGATAGGGGTGTTTGTGCTACCCTTGGTGAGTACTGGTTGGACGCCACAACATACGATTTTGACACCCCTGACAGGAATGACATCTCATGGCTGCATATTCGGGAAGAATCCTGTCCTCTGCTCACATCGGGAGCACGGGCTCGATTCTCTGTGGAGGCTGAGCCTTGCCTTGTCTGAGGAGAGGGAGAACGGAGTTCCTGGACAATGACGCCGGTAGAACTACCCCAGACAACGGAAAGGCTCACAACGGACGAAACATGTTGTGATACGGGTTCTGACCGAATCCAGATGCCAGTTCTGCTTGACATATACTGGCCATCGACTTCTCCTTGCGAGAAGCTTCTTTCCAAACCGGCTTCGTACCGCCCAAGCCGCTGTCGTCACAACGCAGGAGGTCCCTCATCAATCCATCGGGGAGACGCATACGGCCATGGGGTATTCCAAGGCAAAGTAACTCGCCCCCAAATTTGGACAGGGGCTTCAAAAGCATTGGTAAGTGTACACAACAACCACCTCCTGACCGCTGACGTCCTCGAATCAGGGAGATCGACAACACAACTTCCCTATTCCATCGAACGCGGCTGAAGCTATTGGCCCGGAGATTGAAAGCTTCGGGTTCAGACATAGACTGGTGATGTCGACGACTTGGAGGCTCGAGAAACAACGAAAATGAGATTCCGATGGGAGGAGAGCCTCACGATATCCGACAAAGGGAGAGAGGGCTGTCAGGACGATCCGGGATTCTATAAGAACCGGCATTCGCTCCTGGCTTTCCAGAGCTACTCATCTTCGTCAAGCTACCGAGCATCCAGAAGCATCACCAAAACTCCACACATCACCGAGACACTTCTCTCAGAGAAAACCCCCCCCAACCGCCAACATGCAGCTCACCAACGCCATCTTCACTTTCCTCGCCATTGCCATGACGGCCGCTGCCGCTCCCGCTCCCGCCGAACCCGCCGTTCTGGAAGCCCGCACGGGAACCGTGACCGAGTGCAACCAGCCCGACCAGACTCTCTGCTGCTTTGGCATCGGTCTCCTCAATATTGCCGCGCTCTGCAATGTCATCCAAGTTGCCAGCAGCTGCAGCGGAACCAAGGTTTGCTGCGACCCGACCGCGACCAACAACAACCAGGTGAGCTTTCCAAGTTCCATCCCCCAATATTCTCCGATAACTTTGACTTGATTGCTAACCGGGTTCCCCCCGGCCTCAGAACGGTGTGCAGTTCATCAACCTTAACATTGCGACTTGCCCGCTCGTTATTCTCTGATGCCGCAAACTCGCAAGAAAGCGTCGCTGTGGCTTTGCCTTGTCTGCGGGGCTGGCAGTCGGGCGAGCCCACGTAATATCGAGGCGGAGGGATGAGACGGGATGTAGTGCTCGGTGTTTTTTTGCCTTCCCCCAGTTCACTCCTTCTTGCCATTGGCTTGGGGTTTTGATGCTGTTCCCAGTGCACTTGGGATGTTTTGTTCGAGTTTTTGTTGCCACCACAGTCATTACAATCAAAAATTGCGCGCGCAATGCTCTTTGCTTCCAGCCTCAAGTGTGATCTGAATTTGTTTGATGCCAAACGCTCCAGATGCAGCTGTCGCAATAGGGCGACACCTGAAGAGACCGTTGTGTTTTGACCGTTTCGGGATGCATTCAGGGGCTGCGCGGCGGCTGGAAGCGGCTGGACGACGGCCGCTCGCAGAGCTGAACGTGCTTCCCCCACGCCCCCGCGCTTTTCCTGTCAGAATTGCCATCCAGTTGCCCGTCCGCCAAGTGTAGCACCACCGATAATAATTGTGGAGGACCGCGTATCAGCCGGGGCCGCTGGGGCCGCCCACCGGACAACGCCGACGGCCGATTCCCCTTTCTGGCGACCGGGGAAGGCCCGCTCTGGCCTCTTGCTGATCGCTGACCCTATTAGGCCAGCACGTCCTATGCTTCATCCTTATCTCTTCAGCTCGTTTCCCCCCCATCCTGAAGCACCCCGGAATCTCTTGCTGTGCCCGTTGGCCTATGCTGTGCAGATGATAGCGCCCTCGCAATGCATCGCTTTGCCCGTTCCAGCCAAAAAAAAAAAAAAAAGGGGGACAAACGACGAAGGGATGGATTTCCTCCCCCGAGACATGGCAAGGCACTGCGTTTGCGTTGATTGAGTGACGTACCTGAAAGTCGACCACCGCATCACCAGGTCGCTCTTTCCCTGAGATGCAATGTGATCTTGGCCCATCGTACCTTCACTTTCCGTTATCTTTTGTCCGCGCACCTTGGTAGCTAAGCTGGCCTTGAACACCTGATTATATACCATCATTCCTCTGACCCGCGACGGGATCTTCATCCCCACCGCCGTGATTTACGTCTTCAAACCCACGACGTCTGAGACTGCCGTTTGTCACTCAAGAAATAAAGCACCTCGCCCTCGGGGCATGCCGCACTCCCGCTGCTGTCCGGCACACAGACCAGCTCGCGCTTCGGGATTGCCAGACCCAGAGACCAGCCAGCAATTTCTATTATTATCCTCACCACCGCCCTCCCGCCCCGTACGATGCTCTCCCCCTCGGAATTCGGAAGGGGCTACGACATGGCCCTCGTCGCGTGCGCGTGGTCGCTGTGGGCGCTCGCGCTTGTCGCCGTCATCTGCCGCTTCATCTCGCGCCGCCTGCTCGCCGGCCCCAAGTTCTGGAAGGACCTCAAGGTGGATGACTACCTGATGGTTGTCGCGCTGGCGTCGCTGGCGGGCGTGGCGTGGTCGACCAACGAGATTGCTGCGCACGGGAGTAATTATGTGGAAGAGGGAGCGACGGAGGGGTGGTCGGAGGAGCAGGTTGCGAATGCGGTGTGGGGGAGCAAGATGCTTGTCGCCTTGGAGGAATTTATGATATCGACCCTGTGGCTGGTTAAGTTTTGCTTGTTGATTCTGTATGGGAGGATGACGTGAGTTTTTCTGGTTTCTTTTCGTGGGTTAGTTGACGGTGGTGTTGACGAATTCGCTTGCAGGTCTGGGCTTCGGGAGAGCCTTGCGGTAAAGGTCACGTTTGGCTACTGCGTTGTGACATTTATCCTCGTCCAGGTGCTTTACCTTGGAGTCTGGTGCCGGCCGATTCATAACTACTGGGCGGTGCCCATTCCGCCCGGCAATGGTGGGTATCCTTCTCGCTGGTCCGCCGCACCTTGCTGACTCCCCTCCTCAAGATCAATGCAAGAATTATCATCACCACCTTATCACGATCACCATCCTTCATGTCTCCTCCGATCTGTTCATGCTCGCCATTCCGATCCCCATGATCATCCGCACTCGCCTTCCGCTCCGTCAAAAGATCATCCTCTGCGGCGTCTTCAGCCTCGGTGTTCTCGTCGTCCTGCTTGCCATCCTCAACCGCGTTTTCAACTTTGTCATGCCCCACGAACTTGTCTTCTTGGCATGGTACAATGGTGAAGCCAGCACAGCAGTCATCATCGCCAATGTTCCATTCTTCTGGGGCCTTGTCCGCAGGCTATTCGGCTTCGAGTCCTGGGGCGGGAGTGGTGCGACGGATCAGAAGAAGAATGGGTTTGGTGGTGGCAACGCGCCGCCACCTACGATTGGCAGTGCGAAGCAAAAGAGCAGGAGGCAGAGGAAGGGAGAGACCCTGTTTGATACTGCCTTTTCTCGACATGACAGTGCTGAGAGAATCACTGTGAAGGAGGATGTCGACGTGTATTATGGACACCTGCAGTCTATTGAGTTGGGTGAGCGGAATCGGGTTACTGTGTCGTGATGTACGACACCAGCAGTTGGGTGGCGTTGGAGGTTGGGTTGGGCTGGAGTTGGAGATACCTTGGCTGGATTTCGTTCATTTCTTGTATTTGTTTTGATATGGTAGGCTGGTGGAAGGTATTTGGCGCTATGATGATGGAATTTGACGACACAAGATCATGATATAGGAGATGGATGGGGTACCCTTTGTGTCAGCTGTATATTAGGTAGTGTAATGACTGGGTATCTTTGTGTGTATAGTTTGGGTTGACCTTTACTGTGGGTTATTTACAAGCCACACTAGTTGAAGACATCCATACGTCAAGGACAGAAGGATACAGGCTCCCCATTTGCCTGCCGGGGAGCTATATGATGTCGAATTTGCCGTAAACAACACCAACGCAACATGTCTTCCCCGACCTCTTGATTTTTGCGCTTTCGGCACACTTCATTACCTACAATACACCTCACGATTTTCACACCCGACTGTACAGATTGCGAGGTCTCACAGTCATGATCTACTCTAGTTAAACTTTGGGTATCATATCTTCCGTTCCTGGCCTGCCG